AAATGCGGCTCGGAGCGGAAACGCTCTGTCGCCACACACACATACAAACACTAAAGGAGTGGGAGACAAAAAACGCGAAAAAAAAACAGGAACCCGCTAAAACGTTGTTCTCGCATTCCAAGAAAAGGCTTTGTTTTCTCATCTTCAGTTTCTTTCTTCGAAGTACTGTAAGTCACCTCCACGCGCGTGTCCAGCTTAGCCAATTATGCGTTGTTGGAGTTCTATTTTTTTCGCGGCGAGGCTCGCCAAGGAATCCAGTCGGTGATTGGACTGGAGTCACGTCGCAAGTGATACCTCGAGTATCGGTTGTTTGTGGTCAACAAACCCGCGGCGTGGCCTACTCATGTCTTGGCTGTGAGTGTGCGTGTGTGTGTGTGCGTGTGCCGTCAGGTGACAGAATAATTGCAGCCCCGAGCGGATACTCATATGATTTAAATTTACACTTACTTGCTCACCTGTTATTTATTTATTTTGTCTCTCTGCAGAATCGTCACCTCCATTCACACAAAGTTCCTGGAAGACACCTCTGGAAAGTCCAGGGTCGTCTCTATACGGTCCTTGCCTATCTCTCTCACTCTTGGGTCTCTCTCCAGCCGGCCCGGCGCCCCGCACGCATCCTAAAAGGCTACTTTGGAATGGAAACGGCCGCCTCGGGAGAATGAAGCAGAAATATATTGACCTTTGTGGTGACTCGGCGATCCGTGTGGAGGTTGGCTCGGGACGCGTGGCAGCGCGTGGCACGGCGAGGAGTTCGCCCCCAGTTCCAAACACTCCCCCGTCGACTGATTCCGAGAGTCGTCTCGTCGCTCTGTCTCTCTCTCGCACCTGGCACGCCCTGTGAGGGCGACAGAGACAGAGCGACGAAAGCGACTCTCGGAATCAATCTGCGGGATGCGAATGTCGCGTGGAGGTTAGTGTGCGTCAGGGTTTTCTCTATTCTCCCCCAGTTCCAAACACTACCCTGGTTTCGGCCCCGAATGTGTAACGCGGCCTCGCTGCCCGCCCCCGAACACAACGCAGAGAAAGTCGGTGGGATCTACCCGCCCGCCGTCGTCGCTCCGCCGAGGCAGTGTCTCAGCCAGCCCGCCTCGGCCCGAATCTGAGGCCGCACCGCACTGCACAGCTTGAGACGTAATGACGGCACTGTCTCGTCTTCCGCCGCGATTCGCGCGAAAAGGCTCATCCTGCACCCCCTCCCCCTCTTCCCCCGGCTGCCTCGCTGCCTCGGTGCGTGAAATGACCCCTCCCCCTTCCCGCGAGCACTTCACGTCGTGTGTCTCGCCACTGTCTCGCCTGGCGTGCTGCCGTCGCCTCCCAGTCAGTGCCTCCCAGCCACGCTGCCCAGGCAGGCCAGGCAGGCCAGGGGCCGTCCGGCAAACCGGCAAGCGGCGGAAATTGCGGCACTGCGGAAACACTGGGGGGTCGATCCGTCACTGACGCTACCCCACACACGAGACAGACTCTTCCGCAGGGGGAGAGAAATGGCCCTGTCGATACCCCGCGCGCGGCGGTTGTCCCCGTAACGCTGACGTTGGGTGACACTCTGGCGTGGAGTAGCGTCGGCACTGCAAACGGCGCGCCTGGGGTATAGACGCCGGATCGCGTTTCTTTTGCCATTGATTGCAGGAGTGCTGAGCGATCTGTTCCTCGCGCCGCTCGACGCCGAGCAAAGCTACAGTAAAGCTAGAAAAGCTATCACGACGTGCCGCAGATTGAAGCACGCAACACGCACACCATTGGAATTACGTACACTGCACCGCGAGTTAGGATGTTGAGTCGCGGGCGTGGCGTGGCGAGGCGGGCCGGGGCGTGGCAGGTCAAGTTGACCCGGTCACAAAACCAGCAGCCATAACATATTACGTTTTTTTCTCTCTTCGCTTCGATCACGGCGTCATTATCATCAAAGCCAGTCAAAGCCCACTCAGGTTGTTCCTTTTCGGGCTCAGTCCCCGCAGTGGCGCGCAGTGGCGAGAGGTGAGGCCTCCCTCGCGGCCAGTACCCCCTAACCTAACCTAACCTGAACCAACCTAACCTGACTTTACCATGGCCGGTGATCAGGGCATGGTCAGCCCCTCCCGCTGGTCAGGAACTCTGCCCGGGCGGCTGCCTACTGCTTGTCATCTCACCCCCAGGTTCGAATCACTCCCACTTCCACCTGTTCCCGCAGAGAAGGCATTATTTCGGCCCCAAGCAGTCTGCCGGCGCGCGGCCGCCCTGTGTGTTTACGACAGGAGAGTTTCAGAGGCTTGCGGCCGGTGCGGTGGCGTGCGCGCGTTTACAGTGACGAACGTGTTTGAAAGGAAGCGCCTTCGGTGCCATGGCTCTTGAGGCAGTTCAGTGGTTGTACAACGGCCACGCGATTGCTACATGCAAACTGTCTCGGCGTGACGAGCGCTACTCACGCGCACACACACACACACACACACACACACACACACAGACACACACTCACACTTCGAACTGTGTTCCTTTTTCTAGAATCTCGACAGCGGCCTCGGCTTGTCGGACACTAATTAGATTTATGAATCAATCGGATGAATGGGCGGGCGGCGGGGCCCGCGGGCGTGAATGGGAACGCGTTTTGTCTTACAGGCTGTTATTAGCAGTTATCTGTTATCCACCGTGCCAAAAGAACCAACAACTATACAAAATGCCATATCTACTCTGCAGAGCAAAGACGTCGGCAGGTTTTTTCTTTCTTACTTTTTCTGAGCAGTGTCAAAACTCTGCAAAGAGAAGAGTCTAAAACACGAAAAGAGAAAAAGCCCGACCTGAAAATCACTTTATAATGGCGTGCAGAGCGTGACGGTGGCGCTATTCGCCGCGCCTGGACACTGGACTGGGCCGACTTGCCCGGGCCCTGGGCTGCCCTGGGCGGCGCAGCAGGTCGGCGCCCACAATTCGTATTCGCGCGCGGTATGAAAAAGTCGTCGTTCAAATGGTCGTCCGGCAGGACCGGCAGGGCCCGCAGCGAAGCGATGCATAGCGGTTTTTTCCGCGGCTGCTCTCCTGGCGTGCAAAAAAGGGCGGAGAGGAAACAGTGGCGAAATTCACTCCGTCAGGACCGTCCCGGCGCAGCAGGCGTAGCAGGCGCAGCCACAGCGAGGCAGGACAGTGGCTTTTCGGCGCGAAACGCGGTGGCGGGGGCGGCGGCGGGCCGTGGGGTCGCACCGCTATTACTGTCAACCACTTGACGCCTCACTCATTCACGGCGACCGGCCCTGCCCCTGCTCGGTGGGGACGGCCAGCACCGAGCCAGCACGCCGAGCGCAGCCAGGGTCCCTCTCTCCAGCTCCAGCGGATCCAGCGTCGGAAGCGGAAACACGGCCAAGCACAAAAATGGCGCGCGGGTTGCTGCTTTTGGCAGGCCGGTGACCCCTTCTGCCCTTATCGAATAGGCGCGGCGCCAGGTGGAAATTTGATGCGGACCCCGCGCGGTTTCCAAAGGCGTCCGGGACGTCTTTGCCAACAGTGGGGTCGACACGCGTCGGCAGGACTGGAAAAGGCGGCGCGCTTCGCTTACCTTTGGCGAGTCGGCTGCCGGGGATTCCAGGTTCCGGCTGGAACTGCAGGGACCGCAGGGACCGCAGTGGGCCGACGGGCAGGGGCAAGCGTGGCCTCGGACGGCCCGACCGGGCATGAACCACCTGGACCAGGTTCACCAGGTCGCCGTCGTCGTGGTGCTCCCCAGGGAACGCCTCCGCAGCCACAGGGATGGAAGAAGCGCGGTGCGGCGGCTTGTCCGCGGAGGGGCGTCCGAGGTGTGTCCACGAGGGTGCTCGCGGCGCGTAGCGGCGCGGGCTGGCAGCCGGTGCTCCGAACGTAGATTCGATCGTAGACGAGCAGCTCGACTCGGCGCGGCACGCCCGGCACACCTCACGCCTTTACTTCACTTCTCTCGCCCGCGATCCGATCCAAAGCACTGACGCCATGCTGACGACGCCTGCTGCCCGGCCCCTACCCGGCATGGCCCCGGCCCCTCCCCCCTCCCCCGCGACCCGCTGCCTGACTGCCGAGCCTCTACCGAGCCTCTACCGAGCCTCAGCGGGGACTTTGCCTTTACCCACGTTTTCTTTCGAATCCCGTTCTCCATCTCCACCATCATCGCCGTCCTCGTGGCTGCCCCTCCCCTCTCCCTCTCGCCTCTCTGTTCGTCCTCTTCTCTTCCTTTCTGTCCCGTTCTATTCTTGCTACTCTCCAACACTGTTCCTCTTTCGGCAAAAAAAGGAGGAAGGGGAAAAGGGCACACCCGCATCGCGAAAGGCAAGTTCAAGGGAATTGGAAATAGACCGCCTGTCGCGCCTCGTGCCACGAAGGTCCGAGGGGTCCGAGGGCCGTGACAGTTGGTGACTCATTTGGGCGACCCTCTGCCCTACAGCCCTGCAGCCTGCAGCGCAGCCAGGCCCTGTCCCCAAAGCCCAAAACTCGGCCAGCTCTGATTGAAGCCAACTCTGGACTTCCCCCTGCTGAGCGCTATGCATGCGCGGCAGGGGTCTGACTCACTTATTCCCAGAGTCCAAATGGACGGCGATCGTTCCAGATTGTGTTCGGAACGAATCAACGAGCGTTCTGGCGGGGTGTGATGATGGTTGATTCTTGCTGAAGCGCCTGAGAGGTAGACAGGCCCGCGGCCCGTCGCGCGGCGCCGCGATGCAGGCTGCCTAGCCTCGGTTGGCAGGGGCTTTCGAGGCCGACCGGCCGATTTCGAGGTAGATTTCCGTTCCTTTCCCTTCCGGGCTGCCGGATTGTCTGCCACGCCCAGGTGCTGCGGTGCGATTTTATGGTGTCACATTTCGCACAGCAGGAATGGCTTTTGAAATGATGCCTTGCCTTTAGGAGGAAAGTATACATTGACTGTATTAAATTTTCATCGAATAGGTATGATTTGTTATGTGGACGACTGAAGGCGACAGTGAATTCTAGACGATAAGACAACCAGGAACGTTAACCAACCACTTACAACGTTGCTGCCGCTGCCCGAATGTTTGCTGTTTCAAAATATGCCGCTGAAGTGGCCTGCTAGTGTGGTGTTTTCAGTACCAACTGCAGGAAATTTAATTTACTGCTGTACGACGCACAGAGGCAGCTGTCACTGTAGAAATTTATCCATACATTCATTAAGCTACTTTGCCAATTCAATATTAAAACATTGATATGGTAGTTTTTACTGGAAAACTGAGTTAATTTTGTGTGACATGTTTGCTTGGGGAGGTTGGCAAGAGTTATTTAGCTGAATTCGTCTGCTTTCCTTTTGACAGATGCATTCGTTTTGTAAACATTTAGAGAATTTGGTTTAACTTCTTTCTCATGCATTAAAATGAAACTTAGCTGTGTTGCATTTATTTGTCCATTACTTTTGATTTTGACAAGTTTTATTTCGCTATCAAACGCTTCGGACAAAGCGCCGGCCTTTAGAAACTTCGCTAGGTTAGGATTCTGTTCTGAAGTAATGTTTGGTTCGATATTCAGGACGGCTGAAGTTGAGATATCCTATCTGTTTTCAGTTCTCACGTAGCTGGTCTCATATTGGCCCGCTGTGGCAGCAAAGGAATTCGTTTAAAAAACCTAGTGACAATCGAAAATGAATCACTTCTACGCAGAACTCTTGTTACTTTGAAGAAGTGCGGAAGTAAGTTAAGGTAGCGCAGCTAAAAATCTTCAATGAAGTGGTCTTTAACTATTCTTTGATTTCAGAGTTTGCTTCCATATGGGTGGCAACAGATTGTAACACAATCGCCCATGAGGCTTTGCTCTCAGGAGCTCGTGTATTCAGGCGTTCCTCGCTAAGTGCCACTGATACTGCTCCGTCAATCATGGCAGTAGAAGAATTTCTCATGCAAAGACCAGGTATAGTATTTTAGATTTAGAATCAATTAAAATACACTCGTGAGTAGAGGCAGATGAACTAATGGTTATTTTTTCATCCACAGAAGTTAACATTGTTGCACTCTTTCAGTGCACCTCTCCGTTCTTAGCACTGCCATTCATTCATCGGGCATTTGAGCTGCTGTCACAGGGTTATGACTCGGTGTTCTCAGCAAACCGTGTGTACAAGCTGAGATGGCATCTGACATCAGGTAGGGACGTTAGGGGCTAAACAAATCTCGGGAGTGAGGATGGGACAGTGTGGAGAGTGAGTCTAAAAGCTCGATTGCGATGCACCCTCAGGCGGAGTGGCCCAGGCGGGCAACTTCGACCCAGCTCGGCGGCCGCGGCGGCAGGACTGGAGCGGCGAGCTGGTGGAGAACGGCATGTTCTACTTCGTGGCGAGGCACCTCGTGGAGGAGGGCCTGCTGCAGGGCGGCCGGTGAGTGGGGTGGTGGAGTAGCCTCGCGCCAAGCGCCTCCCGCCGAGCTGATCCGCGGCCAGTGGCGCGCGCGAGCACGATGGGAGGCCTACCCGCCGGGCGTGGAGCCTGGCGCGGTGGTTGGGTTGCCCGTTGCTGTGCGGCAGGCGGCGCCACAGCAGCTGAAGGCAAAGGCCGCCTCTCCTCTCCCACGCCTACCCGCATTCATATTGCCGACAGTTCCGTTCTCGCGCGAATTGATGCAGCGCATTAATTTGGTTCCCGCGACGGGTTTGCGCGGGGCGGGGCGGGGAGGGGTGTGCACCGACGAAACTCCTTGACCCACGAAGGCTAAGGCTAAGGCTGCCGCCGCGGATGTGGCGTGGCGTGGCGAGGCGTGGCGTGGCGCGGACAGCCCAGGTTTATTTTCCTCCTTGCCCTTTCCGCCCTGTCCGTGTCCATCCTGCGTCCAGGCTCCGCAGACTCCGCGTCCTCCTCGCCTCTCGCTTCACTCCGTTCATTACTGTCGTGCTGCTGTGACTGGGGCTGGGCTTTGCTTTCACACCGGTTGGGTCCGGAACCGACCGGCCGGCCGGCCGCACTGCCGGACGACCGGCCAAGATCCCTGGGACTCGCAGTGACACGACGTCGACGTCGCCAGACCGCCAGGCCGCCAGACTCCGTCCACGACGGGGCGGGGCCGTCCACCTCCAACGAACGCGCCCCGAATTTGCAAGTTGTGCCCCCCGCCCGCCCTAGTGTCTGTCACAGGCTGGACGCCGTTGACGTTGGACTGTCACACCGACGCTCACTCACACACACGCACGTCCTGGCGTGGCCTTGTGGGCCGCCACTGCCGCCACAGGCACGCCGCGCATTCCTCGCAATGGCAATATGTGTGTACTTGGCTTTGAATAACCCATTCCGCTCCGCAGCTCCGCGGGTCCGCGACTTGGCTTTCCCAAGGCCACCGCGTCTTGTCTTCTTCGCTTTCTTCTCTCTGCCGGCTGGTCCGCGTTAGACAGACCGGGCCGGTTCAGCTGAGCTGATACCTCCCCGCCAATCGGCGCCCTACAGCGGCCCAACAGTCTGATTCCGCGCACTGCCTGGTCGCTCTGTCCCTCTCGCACTCATGGGGCGGTCCGTATGGGTGCGAGAGAGACAGAGCTACGAATCGCGTAATCAGTCTGCAGCCTCCACGCGCGCAGCGCGCCCAAGCGGCTGGCGACACATTCCTCGACACATTCCGCGAGATCGCGCAGTGGAGTGGAGAGGTCCTCCCTTGTCGCCGTCGCCGTGGACTTCCCTCCCCCTCCCCTCGGAGCGCGCGGCGCGGTCACTCTCTGAACAGCTGCTAGCCGTGCGGGGTGCGTTACAAATCGAATAGACGTGCGACCACACTCTTCTAGTTTCTAACAGTTGGCCGAACTCCCCGCGCACATGGGCCCGTGTGACGTACGTTCTTTGCGCGCCTTGCGTGCGGTTTCGTGCTACGCGGGCTACGAGTGGAAACCCAGTGTGACTAAAGAGTGTCACGTGTGTCGATTCCAAGGCTGTGGCTACAGCAGATACGTCGTCGTCCCCTCTACTCGATACCACAGATTACTCAGCTACTCAGATCAAGAGCGCTCGGCAACCCTCCCCCCCCAAAAAAAACCTGTGGCTTTTTTGTGAAGAGATTTCCCTCCCCCCTCCCCTTCTCCGTTCTGTCTGAATAAAAGATTCCTCTTTTTTTCCCTTTCCGTTTCAGGATCGGCATCGTGGAGGTTCCCACCAACTGCAGTCTGGAGATCGACACCGAGGCTGACTTGGACGCGGCCGTTGCCTTGGTGGCTGGCCGAGCCCGTCGCGGTCGCGGTCGCGGCAGTGGTGGTGGCGGCGGCGGCGGTAGCGGACGATGCTGATGCTCAGCTGTCTCCTTTGAGGTGTCAAACATGGCGACCGACCTGACCAACGGTGAGTGATTTCGCGTGGAACATTTCTGCATTTGTGTGGTTCTCGCAGTGTTTTGGCGTGTCGACTTCTGTCTAAACGCCCTCTTTTACTTCGGCATTGCTCTGTCAATCGGTCGCACTCTTTTCGCCGCGCCAACTCGAATTTGGAGCCGCTGTAAACAAGAAGGGGGAGGGGGTCTTTGACAGCTACAGACAGAAACCTGTTGAGTCGGGAAGTTTCGGGATTGGGGAGGGGAATCGCCAGAAATTTACACTGGATTATTTTTTGTTCATGAATTAATAACTAAACACCAAAATGTACAAGCTTTCTATTTGTTTCATTTTTATTTGCGGGATGTGGGATACTAAACCTCTGATACTTTTTGTCATTTCTGTTTACTTATCTCATTATATGAAAATTTCTATTCAGACTTCAGAGTTTGTGCTTTAAACAATAGTTTTGATTATAAGACAGTGTTGAACATATTGTTTGGGAACCAAAACACCTTGCATCTTTCATTGACAGGTTCCGTGTAACCGTAATACCAAAACCATTAATGAAAACTGTTATCTATTTATCTTTCTTTCTTAGGTACAATTCCATCATTCTACCGAGATGTGTACGACCTCTGCTCTGTCGCTGACTCAGTCAGCAAGGAGATGTTCACCCGTTTGCTTGTTAAATCAGGCCTTCCTCAACAGAAACTCAGTCAGGTGATTATACAATTTTTCTTCAAAAGCTGCAACTTGATTGAATTCCTGGTGAAACTTACCTTATTTTTGCATTTATTTAGATTTGGGAACTTATGGAAGCCAAACAAGGTCACCTTTCAAGGACATCCCTTTATAAAGCCTTGGCCCTAGTTGCTTGGGCACAACAAGGAAAAGAACTCAGCATTAAACTTTTGGACAATTTCTCGGGTGATGGTGAGGCATATCTGTTGTGATGTTGCTGCATGTTATGGAGAACAGATTATGTTTACCGAATAATCTTTCTTTTATCCCTATTTTAGAATTTCCAGTACCCATCTTGGGAGATCTAAGCGACTTACGACAGCTACAAAAACAGCGCCAAAGACAGTGTCACCCAGGGCACCTCGGAATGCGATATGGGGATCTCTGTCGACTTGATACAGTAACAGTTTATCTTGTTCCGGAGAAGAAAGGCATTTTTCTAAAGCATGTGGAATATCAAGTTACTAGCAAGGTGAATTCATTTGTTGTTGACTGTTTAACTGAGTGGTTTTCCCTATTTTTGCTTCATAGGAAATAGCATTTTTGTGTTTATTCTACAGTGTAACACTCTTCCATTTACAGCGATTTGGAACCAAAGTTCGACGAAGATACAATGACTTTGTTTCATTGTATGACCTGTTACTGGGCCGATTCCCATACAGACTGATTCCACGTCTTCCTCCAAAGAAAATGAATATTGGTTGTAAGTTTGTGACTCCTCATCTCAAGGGAAACTTGTCTTGATCCAATATTTTCCATTTCATTTTGCTAATTCTGCATCCTGTTTTGCTTTCTTTCATAGCCGATGCTCCATTCATAGAAGAACGTCGACAATGGTTGTGGCGCTGGTTAAGCCTTATTTCTCGCCACCCAGTCATCAATCAAGATCCTATCCTTCAGTTCTTCTTCACATACGATGGTGATGACATTCAGCACAAAATAAGGGAAATTTTTCGACGAGTTCCTGATGAATTTACTACGTCTGAGTTGGCGTCCCAAGCCAAGGTGTGTGTTTCTACTAAGTTTTAGTGCAAAGTAAAAAAACTTTAAAACTATTTTTGACATCACGTTTTTTTACTTTTAGGAGCTGGTTCCTCCAGATACCTTGACTGAACTAGCTAATAGCCGTGAACAGATAAGACTGATTACTAATAGCGTATCTCGTGTGAAACAAATAACTGACGGGCTCGCTAATCGTTCACAGGCGTGAGTTTATTTGTGACACTTTGTTGTTTAATGTCTTTTCATATCCCTTTTGTTTTATTTTATTTTGAAACGTGTGACATCTTTACTTTAAGGTACGGAAATGATATGGCTGAACTAGGAACTCAGCTTACTATCTTGGCTTCTGAATCACACAGCACATCATCTTGGGCTACTGGTGGAAACCAAATATGGTCTGAGATGAAGAAAGGATTCCATGTCATTTCCAAGTAATTAAAAAATTATGTTATTTAAATTTTTATTTTTCAAATGAACAATTATAACCAAGGTAACTAACATTTGCAACACTCTGTAATTTTTAAGGGAACTTGGAATTATGTCAAGTAAAGCCCTGGCTCAGTCTGTGCGTGAGGAATCAGAACTCTGTGCCCAGCTCAATTTACTTCTTGACATTCTACTGGCATATCGTGATCTTTGTGCACGCCATGAAAAGGGGGTGATGCAAGATCACCAGAAAGCACACGCAAAAATGCTGTCACTCAAAAAGAGACAAATGCAAGGGGTACTGAGAGGCGAGGTAGGTTTCCTTTTTTCTTGTGTGTTGTAAGCTGCAATTTTTACCTGTGCTGTGTATATTTAGAAGCTCCTATGTCACTCTCCATTCTCTAGGTGGATGCTGTTGTTGCTCTGGAAGATAGGATGTTGCAGCAAGAGTCAGTTATTGCAAGTGTGGAGCTACGCAGTGCCTACTCCCTTCATTGTATGCACATGGAGACGCAGCTGGTCCATGCACATCTGGAGCTTTTTGCCACAGTCATCAGTGTACTGGTATCTGTGCAAATCAGAGGCCATACTGAGGTGAGACAACCTCTCTTATTTGTCTTATTTGTGGGACAATGTCTGCCTCCCAGGCATGTCTGTTGTAAATTGGACACTATTAATGTGTACTATTTGTTTCTCTTTTTTGCTGCCTATGGAATTTTCAATTTTCCAGAGTGTAAGCCTCTGATGCTCCTTTACTTTGTTGAAAACTAAGAAAAAGATGCTATTGAGAATACTGCCATGACAATCTTATCCAACCAATTCATCTAAGACATGGTGTTGTTTCTTTGTTGCAGTTGGCAGAAGTGTGGAAAGCCATTCAACCCACCATTTCAAAGTGCCTTCCGGAGGAGCCAGAACACTAAAATACCTGCAAATTACCCATGATTTTTTTCTCTAGGAAATGACTGATGGCCTGTGAAGCTGGAACTTGCATTTATTAGGATAATCCTCTTGAAGATGTAGTTGCGCCCTGTGGCTCTATGAGCCAGCTACCTGTATTGAAATGATAATAGCAAATCATACATTGTTTTCTACTTATGAATATGAAATAATATGAAGAAGGTACCTGCTGGGCTGGTCTCTGTGCCAAACATGGACGTTCATAAAGTGTGTTTGTGATTTTGCAAATGCATTTTCCTGTTAAAATAGGTAGAATTTATAGAAGATGTATGAGCAAAACATGTTTGTACCTTGATGAAGTATTTTCACTGGTAATATTGCACCAGCATAAATCAAATGAGATTCTCATTTGTTTAGTTACGCTCTTAACTTTTAATACTCTGAGGGGTATGGGAACTGGTATGTTAAAGTCTGAATTATTTATTATGTGACACTCCAATCCATTGGAACAGTGAAATGTCAAAAGTGTCATTTTTATCATGCATGTTATACTGTAGTGGAACTTGTGCAATCATTGTTGATTTTTTATTATAATGTGGAGTTTGGTATGAGTTGTCCATGTGTACATTGCATTAAATGCACATTATAGTTCTATACTCATACTGTTGTTCCTATTTAGAGTTTGCATGGGCTTACCATACTGGCACTATGTTAGAATTCATCTGATTTGACTACAGCATTTTTTTTTCTGGGTTTTTGTTCTATGAAAGAAAGTTGTTACTTTGGAGTTAAAAATAGCTTTTAACAGGAGTTGCTGCAAATGAAAATAGTCTATTAGTTGAGTTTATATTTGTTTTAATTGACCAATAATGCTGTTGACAATGGCTGTAGCAACATATAACCCCGTGTAACAGTTTTCTGTTATGTTTTCTTGTTTCTATGTTTGTTGATGCATTTAAAATGTACCCTTTTAAGGACCATATTTTTATTTCATGTAACTTATTTATTTATGTTTTCCATAGAGTAATGTCTATCTAGTCATGTGTTGCATGATAAATTTCATGTATTTTAAAAATATCTTGCTTGAAAGAGCTTTGGACTTTTTTTTTCCGTTCTTTCAAGTTGTTTTCCTTGGTTTGCCATCAGTTAGTCTGTTACTGACAAAACAAAATAGGCCTAATGAATTTTGTTCAACTGTCAATAAGTTGTGTTGTGAACTGTTTGTCAATATCATATCAACTTTGAATTTCATTATTATTCTGTTCAAGGGACAGATAAAAATGTACCATTTAAATTTATTTAGGAATGCACATTATTATCTGCATTTCAATTGTATAATGGGATCAATTTATGTAAGTTTGGTAATGGATTTTATTGTATATCATTTACATGAATTAGTATTGTTAAAAATGTTTCTGCATAATGTTATCTATCTTTACGCATGTATCATGTTGAATATATTGTGTGATGATCACCAAGTGCCACCCATGAGAGAAAATCTAGTTGTTATAGCCCCTGTGTTTTCTGTTTGTTTTGTTTTTAGTGACCAAAAAATAAAGCCATGATCATTCCTTGTAGTGTCGCCTAATGCCTTGTTTGCTTTTGCCTGTCTTTATGTGTCACACTCATCAAAATTGGACAAACAACTCTGAAATGCAATAGAGGTACAGGGGTGTTTTCAAATAACCGCTGCCAGGTTTAATGAAACATAATTGAGTTTTCTCTCTGTACCGACTTGGAAAGGTCAGCGCACTGTGAGAGTGCGGGTGAGGGAGGTGAGGGGGAGGGGAGGGAAGTGGGGGCAAGGTGAGAGCGCCGCCATGCAGGCCACCCATTCGACACCGGATGGGTTGCCTGCGTCGCGGGCGCGCTCGCTGTGAAGTCGACAGTGAAGTCGGCCACGCCGACCCCGGGCCCGGGAGAGGAGAGGCGGCGTGCACCGGCGTGCTGCCTCCAGCTTGTTGAATTAAAAACGGATGCGTGGACCAGCGGGGCTGTCGGCGGGGTCCAGGTGGGGCCGGGTGGGGCCCGTCCACTGAAATATCAACGACTCTTCTGGCCTAGAGTCCCGCGGATGCAAATCTCAATCCTTATCCGGGTCCCGTGACTTATGCCCCATTCACAGCCCGGGGCGGCGGAAAGGGGAGGGGGGGAGCCTTCCTGAGTTATTCAGTCCCCGGATGAGCTGAAAGCGATAAAGCAGCAGCCGGCCGGGCTCTGCAGGCGGATTCCGAACAGTGCGCTTTCGTCGCTCTGTCTCTCTCGCACTCACGCGGCGTTCCGGAGACGTGCGAGAGAGGCAGACGACTGCTCGGGCCTGCATCGATGCCTTTATTGCGAGGAAACCTCGACACGGACTCGGGCCACTCGCCTGGCGCGCCATGGCGGTCTGGCCGGCCCGGCCGGCTCTTCCGGCGGTCGCCTCGCTCCTCGCTTCCGGCGACACACACGCAGACGTCGATGCCGGGCCGGGGCTGGGATTCATTGGGATTCATTGGGATTCATTGAGGCTGACGGGGTGCCGCTTGGCGCCACGCTGCTGCCCGCCCCGCGCCCATAAACTTGTATTTTTTCGCTCTGCGCTCCCTGTTGGAATGTGCAGGCCGACTCGGCTAGGGGCTGTGGAGTTAAGTGCGTTGGATTTTCCTCAGCTTTCGTATTTTGTACCCGCATTTATTGCCCTCCTCGCGGAGATGTTCGGAGTGAGTAGCGCATGCCGTCCGGGACGTTGTTCCGGAGCAGGACGGGAAGAGCGCAGGAATCTACCAGGCTCGGACTGGCCCCCAAAAGGCCCCAGCGGATAAGACCGCAAAAGGCCCCCGATCATCATTATGTTTTTACCCTTCATGACCAACTTTGTGAGGCTACCGCTCCCAAACTAGTTGCGGTCAATAGCCTTCCCGATACAGGGCATGAAAGAGTAGGGTCTTAAGAATACTAGGGCGTCGAGGGAAGCTTTTACGGCGACTATTGACTCCCGCGGCCTCCCAAAGTCAGCAAAATCAGCAAAATTCCAGATTCGACCACTTTTTGACAACTTGGTCGAAAATCGTTGCGGTCAAAGCCAAAATCGTTGTGGTCAACGTCTTCCCGATACAGGGCATGAAAGAGTAGGGTCTTAAGAATACTAGGACGTCGAGGGAGGCCTTTTACGGCGACTAGATTGGACGCAGTGGCCACCCAAAGTCAGCAAAATCAGCAAATTTCCCAGATTCGACCACTTTTTGACCAAATTGGTCGAAAATCGTTGCGGTCAAAGCCAAATCGTTGTGGTCAACGTCTTCCCGATACAGGGCATGAAAGAGTAGGGTCTTAAGAATACTAGGCGTCGAGGGAGGCCTTTAGGCCCACTAGATGGACGCAGTGGCCCCCAAATCAGCTAACGCACCTTCCGAGATTCGAGTCACTCTTTGACCAACTTGTCGGATCGTTCTGGTCCCAAACCCAAACGTGCCGGCACGATTTCCCGATACAGCCATGAAGCAGTCGGTCTGAATCTACGTCATCAGGCCTGCCGAACTGATCCGACGCAGTGCCGCCCAAAATCAGCAAACGGACCGGGCACGATCCAGCACCGCCAGCACCGCCCAGCACCGCCCAGCACCGCCCAGCACCGCCCAGCACGTTCAGCGAGTCCCATAAGACTTCTGTGCACATGATTCCCAGAGTGGGAAACCCCTTGACGCTGGGCTAAGGCAAACATAAACGAACGGCGACATTGTTAGTCCTTTCTCCCCAAGTTTTCTCCTTAACTTTTTTTTCAACGTCTCTTTTTTTTGTGCAGGGAAGAGGAAAGTGACAGGGGTACGAATGTTTGTCAGTCACGCGTCCAAATCCCTCATTTCACTTTTAAAGACCTCCTCGTCTCCTCGTCCGTGGCTGAGGCGGCCTGGCTGCTCGGCCTGCTGCAGCGTCATCCAAGTCCGCGTGCATTCTCTCACACACACGGGCACACACGCACTCGCGCTCACTCGCACTCACTCGTGCCACTCTCGCGCCGCCTGCAGCCAGGCTGGCCAGGCCCTGCAGGTCCTGCCGTCCTGGCGGCGAGAGGGTCGACCAATTGGCGGGACTTAATTGCTCCCCCGGGCTCGGCACAAGTCCACCAGTCGGACTGCTAAATTATTTGGCACCTCCCTGACTAGACGCGAGTCCTCGCTTGTTTTGACTGCCGGCCGGCTCATCTGCGTGTGTGTCTCAGTGCAAGTGCGGCGTTTCTTCCCCCTTCCTCGAACGCAGCAAACACTCACACGCACGCACACACAGACATGCACAGACACACACATGCAATAATTTGGTGCTGCAGACGAGTTGCACAGGCTACGCCTGACAGCCGCGCATGAGGCCCAGCTGCCCGGCGGTTCATTGATAAATTAAATTGAAAGAGAAACACGTGTGAAAGTTCCCCCGAAGAATGCTTCTCCCGATTCCGATTCCGGGAGGTGTCGGCGGTGCACTGCCGAACATGGTAATGAAAGGACGAAGGGCCCTGGACGCTGTCGAACCATTTACCTGCCGATGAAAACCTCTTTCAAAAGAGAACTTTCAAAATATCTACAATCTCTGAGTGGACGCGCGTTTGGTTGACACGAGGTGCCACTGCCGTGCCCCCGGGGGAGCGCCACATGCGCGGCATGGCGAAAGCGGGGAGCGGGCTTAGTTGGTTTGGCACTGAGAGTGCCGCGCTGTGACTGCGGCGCCGCGGACTGCGGAGTGTGCCGATGCCGAGTGCAGCCGAGTGCACCGCCGGGGTGGTCCGCTTGGCGCGCCGCCGCCATGCCGCCGCCACGCTAGTCGCCTTGGCCGTGGCCGCGGCCGCGCGCTGTTCGCTCGCTCCTACACGGCGTGATTCCGAACAGCGAACCGCTTCGTCCGTCCGCGAGAGGGAAGACGGACCCCGAGAGTCGCTCTGTCTCTCTCGCTCTCGTGGGGCGTTCCGTAGGGGTGCGAGGGAGACAGTGCGGAAACAGACTCCCGGAGTCCGTCTGCAGGGCGACGGACGCACGCCCACATTAGCCTGCATGTGCGGCCTTGAGCATCGGCAGCATCGGCCCGTCCGAGCCGCCACTCCACTCGCGTGTCGCGGCGCCACTCGCGGTGGCCTGCCAGTGGGCTGCCAGTGGGCTGCCAGTGGGCTGCCAGTCCGAGTCGCGCAGCCCGCCGTCGCTAATGTAGCCAATTCCAAAAGCAAGTCCAGTCGATATAATTGCATCGCGAGCCGGCTGATTCCGAGAGTCGTGTTCGTCGCTCCGTCTCTCTCGCACTCATGGGGCGTCCCGTGTCGGTGCGAGAGAGACAGAGCGACGAAGACGGCTCTCGGAATGAGTGTGCAGCGGGCCGCTCTCAGACTGCGGAGCGCGGCCACTGCGAGCGCACGCGGCGCGGCACGCACGGCGAGGCACGGCGGCGGAGCGGACGTGCTGCTAATTGTTCGAGGCGAGCACGCCGCCGCGCCGCCGGCCCCGCCAGCCCCACCAGCCGCCACTGCCAATGACGGGGAGTCCGCGGATCGGCCGCGCGAGTCGCGGCGCGTCGCGTCGCACGGTGCGCACGCGGGCAAGCAGAAGGATTTGGAGGCAGCGGGGCACCGGCGTAGTGACTCACTCCGGACGGTGTGTTTACTTTCCGTTCGGCGACCGCCACCGTGGACGGACAGTTCCGGACGGCAAAAACAACAACAACAAAACAAACAAATCAGTGGCCAGCCTGAAGAAAAGGGCCGAGTGTGACGCGACGGCGCCGAGGACGCCAGCCGACGCGACGGGGTGGTCCGGACGGGACTCCGCGGGCCGAGCCGTCATTAACGCACACTTTGTAAACACTTTTCCTGCCGCCGCGCCGGCCACTGCGTTTCGGTTCGCTATGACGGTTTGCCGGTGAAACGGCGCCACTTTTCTGAGCGCCGCCCCGCCCCGCCCCGCCCCGCCCCGCCCGCCCGCCCCCCCCCCGCCCCGCCCCGCCCCGCCCCGCCCCGCCCCGCGGCGCCACCGTCGCGATGAAAGTGAGGCCAATCCGCTCGGCGTCCACCGCGTTACCCGGTGCTGCGCGGTGCTGCGCGGTGCCCGCTGCCGCGGCCAGTGCTGCCACCTTACCCTGCATTACGATCGACTGCAGCCACGGCACTGCCACGGCACTGCACTGCAGTACCTCTACCGGCCGGCTCGCCACACCGGGTAATTCGATTACCACCGCAATGAGTCCGAGCCAGTCCGAGATGCAACTCACGCTGAAAGCGACTGAAAGCGGCTGAAAGCGTGTGTGCTTCCCGGCGGCCGCCGGGCTGGGCCCCACCAGGCCCCACGGCTCGGCAGGCCCGGCCGGGCGTATGTTCATGAGCACTCGAGCTTTCTAGCGCACATACATACACGCGCACACATACACGCATACACACGCAAACACAAACACATGCGAGCGCACGGCTCCACGCGTGGCGACGGTCCGGGCGGGCGGGCGCGCCCCAGTCGCGCCCTAGCCGCCAGCAGCCCACCCTCCACAGGCTGGGTCGAAATTCGCCTACCGCCGCGGGTACTCCTTGACGGGAACTCCTTTGGCGGCGACCCCCGCGACAGTAAAACGCAAATGAAGACA